TTAAATTAGCCGGCATCATCTTACTTTTAATATACTTATTTATGGATTGCTTATATCGATATTTACGATGGTTTAAGCTTTTCAGTTAGCAAACATCTCAATGATTTTTTTCAGTGGCATCTTGGTTATAAAGGATATTCCACTATGTGCACACAACAGTCTAAAACTGCCCTCACTAGGATTTAAAAGTAGAATGGTTTATCTAATATTAGAACAGTTAAGGATAATTAAAACCCTCAGAGAAGATTCAGTGATTACGGCGTTAAGAAGAATTCCATCTTACCCGGAATCTCATTTTGAATTCAAATTTCCATAACGCTTGTATTCTCATATGAGAGCAGGTACGTTCACGTTAACATCAAAGTAAGTTTAGTGAAAGGTTCTACAATTATGTGTCCCTTGACAACGATTACATGGATTTAAAGCCAGCTTATAACGATCATTGTGGCTTCCTAAGCCTTTGCTTGATTGATCAATATGTTGTGTTCCTAAGACGGACGTGGACTGTCTCTAAAATATAAAATGCTTGCCACTACAAATACTTTGCACTACTTTCTTTGTGGATATCTGATATCTTCGTATTTCTATATATCTGAATTTAAGAAACTCGAGCAGCTTCTAATCTTGGACAGCATAGCTTCTTAAATTGAAGAATCTTTACAGAAACGTGCATGAATCTCTTCTGTGGTACAGATTCTCCTTTGTTTTTTGCATAGTTTGGCCCCAAGAAATCCTATAGCCTCAGACCAACACTACTATCCTTTCCTGTTCAATCTGTGGATAAGAAATGGATATGGTTTATCAGAAGATCCTATAGCTGGCCAATTCTATTTTGACTGAGGCTGGGATGGCTTGGCCTTGAGACTATTTCAGACTCCTTAATGTCATTGTTGTGAAGATTTATATTTCTTATGAAAGTGAATGATAAAGAGATTTGTAGGTCAATTTCATCAGAATATGCCGGCGTATTCGCGTTGTACTGCAGCCATTTGGCTTTAATACTACGTTCAAGTTAATGCAATCAACAAAAGATCCTCCAAAGTTTCGAGCGAAGACGAGCTGAGCCTTAGTCCGTAATATGACGAACATCGTCAGAGCTGGGACTCATTCTCACTTAAGCCTCAAGTTACCAATAAGTCAAGAAGGCGGACCTGCTGTTTCTATATTATATATATATATACTAATTGCGAGTAAAATTTAAGATATGGATAGATATAGAAATGTTTGGTTAATTCACATATGCTCGAGTGTGTCTGCGTGTGAAACAAACATACATACACACAGATACACATTCGGGTAAAGGTAAATTAACCAAACCTCTCTATATCCGTCTATCCAAAATTTTTCTCGCAATGAGTAAATATATAATATAGAAAATTGCAGGTCACTCTTCTTAACTTAATGTTAACTTGAGGCTTTTGCGAGATTGTCCCAGCACTGACGATGTCCCTAACATGACGAACGAAGGCTAAGCCCGTCTTCTTTCCAAACTTTAGAGGTTATCTCGTGGACTATATAAACCTGAACGTCGTATTAAAGCCAAACGGCTGCAGTACAATTTGAATCAGCCGGCGTATTCTTGTGAGATTGTGCTACGAGTGTCTTCATCATACATTTCCATACGAAATAAAAGTCTTCACAACAATTTTTCTTATGAGATTCTTTGGAACCCTTGTTTTTATTAATTACAATCACAGCTGGTTGACTGTGATACATCCCCTTAATGCATCTTAAGTTCAAAATATCATAAATAGGCTCCTTATTAAACAAATAGTTATATTCTCCCAGATATCGTTTAGTTCAACGTAAAATGCTAAATAATGGTTTAATTTTATCACGCTTTAGATATAATCTTACAATAAAGTTGTGAATTTTATACTATTTATGCTAAGATGCTTCTACGACATTCTATCCTTAAAATAGTAATGTTAGGGAGTCTTTCATTTCATATCAAAGTGAATGAACAAGATATTTGTTGGTCGATTTTACCAGATGAGGACGGATACATCTCGTTATACTACAGCCGTTTGGCTTTTATACGATATTCATGTTGACGCATTCAACAAGACTGCCTCCCTCGTTTCATGTGAAAACGTGCTGAGCCCTTGTCTATCATATGATGGACATCATCAGAGCTGGGTGTCATTCTTGTAAGTCTCACGTTAACACTAGGGCAAGAACACTATTCGGCTC